AGACAAAACAATAACAACAACATTGTTACCTTAGCAACATCAATACAGGACAGTGCAAGGAACGTCAAATGCTGAACAATATGATTGACATTTTCAGCTATCAGCATACTGCGACGGTGGAAAGTGTGTTGAATAGCCTAAAACAGTGAAATAATTGTCCATTATTGACATGATTACCAATTCCTGTCTTCTCTGTGCTATGGAATAATGTACTTTACCTTGAGTAATTCAGTGAGTCTGCACAATGCAAGGACAGCAGTTTTCGTCATAGGCTTTGACAGAACTAAGTGCATGTTCATGACAGTTCGGATTAGATAGTTGAGGTTGTATGCATAAAGAATACCCTATGGCGGGAAACAGACAGATGTCAATCACTCACTCAAACAACCAATCATAAACATGAATGAATAAACAGATGGTTGACTGGATAAAAAGTGAATGATACAATAAAATGGTAGCTTTTCTCCCAATCAGAAAATCACTGTTGCATATGGATAAATAAATTAATAAATAGATGAAGGGAGGGATGAATGTATGAATGGATTCATAATGATTGATAACTAAATGAATGAATGAAGTCAGCCATTATTTAACTCAAATTTTAATCTCTCATCATACCCGGACAAAGAGAATACATCTTGTATTGAGGTCTTCCATAAGAGATCCTCCCTTGTTCAGTGAAGATTCCATATGCACCATCCATGAACTGACCTTCATGTAGTATGACTGCGCATCCCTAATAGGTACAAACAACACTGAATATATTACACCGTAAAAAAGGATGTGGAATAACTTACTGACGTTTCGGATGTTAATCCTTCGTCGGAGTAAAGAGAGAGAACTAGGTATAGTGATACCTAGTTCTCTCTCTTTACTCCGACGAAGGATTAACATAGTGATACCTAGTTCACTCTCTTTACTCCGACGAAGGATTAACATCCGAAACGTCAGTAAGTTATTCCACATACTTTTTTACAGTGTTAAATTTATCTTTTTACATAACTGTTTCTTTAGAAACACCGACGCAGCTCACACTAGTTTACCGCTAGTTCCCACCATTTTACTGAATATATTAGATGGTTATAACTTTAATATCAATTCTAAACACATACACTTGGTTGATAAAATGCAGTCAGGCTTCCAAAAGGCTACTTCATGAAAGCTATGACTGAAAGTCTACCTTGATAAATTCTGGTTACAGTTGTTGAGGTACGTTTCACGAGATACAGCCACAGCAGACATCTGYTTCTTGTCAACTGACTTTGTAAGATGTGGAATCTTTCTTAGMAGAAACTCATTAGGAAAAAACATGATATCTCCCACAAGATTAATAGCAGGGACCTAAAGAAAATGATATCATTGTGAAAATTTGATTGACACATTTAAAGGTAGAAGGAAAATGTACCTTTTTATAMACATCCCAAATKAGTTTGAAGAACTTCTTGTCTARCCCTTTGTATATTTGGAAATGTAGTACATACAAGCCTAACAGTCCAACAAAACGCTGTCTCTGGTCAACTTCTGATGTCTCTCCTGTTGACATAGGCAGACAAAACAATGATAAAGATTTTCCATATAAAATATGGATAAATGACTGGATGGATGGATAAGTAAATAAATGAATGAAAAAATGGACGAGGGAATGAATGAATGGGATAGATTAATAAATGAAAGAGATTCCATGTACACTGACACAGTTTTATCATTGCTTTCTAAATACATGTATTAATAGACAAACATGTACTCACCAAGTTTAGGTTCAATATTTTGGAACATAATCTTAATATTATGGAAAAACTCCTCAGCAAAGTGTGGGTTTCTAGCCACTGGTGAATGCAAACCCTCAAACGGTTGCTCAACACAGTTCTATCAATAACAAATACATCATGAAACCGCATACATAAAATGATTTACTGTTATTCAATGATATGAACTAACATTTGGCATATTGAATGAACAATTCATCATGGTTCTWATAATGACAGGTAAAAAGATAAAACGATCTAGTATATTTGTGTTTCAGCTGTACCTGTARTATCACTCCATCCAACAGCTGACCTTCAAGGCTCATWAGCAGCTTCTCAAATGGCCGTAGCTTTTCTTCTTCTACACCAAACATGGCTGTATTATGGTAGACAGACTTGACCATCCTTAATTGAGATCAGGGCAAGCATTTAATRGTCTCCYTCAYGGTTAMSTSCRCCATCTTGWARGKWRSC